AGTGTGTGTGTGTGTGTGTGTGTGTATGTGCTCGCACGCGCTTGTGTGTCCGTCAAACTATCTGCCAGGGTGACTGGGGAAGAGATTTCAAAACATGCATATTCATCGTCAGAAATTATCGTTTTTTATTGTTTATTATGCTTCTGAACTGTTACTAACCCCTCAATTTGTTGCTGTTTGAGCAAAATTTAATAATCGTAGAAAAAAGGCAGATGCATCGAGATGCTTCAAAACCAGCTGTTTTTTTTTCTCCGGAAACTTATCCCGCGTAGTTTGAAACTTTGGAAGTCCAGTCTGCTGGTCAGTGGTTGTGAGATGGAAGGGACACTGGGCTTGTAGAAATCAGAAATTTTGAACTGACCAATGGAAATGCTTTATATAAAACGAACCAAAGTTCTGGGGATGATCATGAATGTGGTGAAATCTCTTGAGAGTTGAACGTGACTTGAAGATTGTTACCCTTTTTAAAAAAAAATTATCGTTTTATTACAATCACAGTTGTACAAAGGAAACTTTTAAAAACTCATTCTTTCCTTTATTTTTTTCCAAAAGAATTTTGCTAAAAAATAAAAAAATTCTCAGTGTAAATTATTCATAGTCCTTCAAAGTTTTTTTTCTTCTCAATCTTGTCTAAATTTTAATAATTGTATATTGCCCAATGACACATGATACATTTTTATTTTTCGAAAACACATTTCTACTATTTTCATGACGCGTTTTTTTTCTTTCTTCTTTTAAATTTGAAAACATAGTTATGTCTGAATTATAATCAGTACCCCCACCCCCCTTCCCCACTGAATGTTTTCTTTAGGAGTGCTTTTATTTTTTTGGTGCGTTGTGCAGAGTTGTTCTAGAGTGCATGGATCGATGCTCTTTATACACGTTGTCACGTCTCCAGAACTTTGGTTTGTTTAAATTTTTGCATTTTGGTTCAGTTTTACGAAACTTTCTGATGCCATTTTGTCATCAAGGACAACTACGAGAACTCTTCTGTGAATAAAAGCCACTTCCTTTCTAATCGAATTTCGGTTCGGCTCTTGTTCGTTTACTGCTTGCATGATGTACTGTCTATGTTTTTTCCAAGAGAGGG